AAAGAAATATGTAACATTTGAGTTAGTCTGATAAAATGAAGGTATCACCAACACAGAAACAAACAATAGTTCTTGTTGGAACACCTATAGTTGTATCATCTGCATATGCAGTTTCACATGCCTGACTCAATACATACTGGTATGGCATGCCATTTACAATAATATTATAAAGCAAAGGACCTAGGCAGCTTCCTTGTGGAATTCCACATAGAGGGATCACAAAGTTTAAACAGATACCATTAAACACAGCAAATGTTTCCTGTTATTGAGGTAACTACTCATAAAGTTGATGGCTGATGTTTTTAAAGCCATAAGCTGACTGCTTCAAATGAGTAACGGCGTTTGAACAACTCTGATGATTAAATTGTTATTTTCGGCAGCATCACTGTCTCCAAGCTCGTGAAAGCTGCATTTTTAGACGTGGTAAGATCTCACCACAGGGTTTCTAATTTCTCAGACATACCATGTATGTGGAAGTAGATCAATGGTTGAAGCACAGAGAGTTTTATGAAGATATCAACTCTTTTAGAAGCATTCCTTCTGTCATGGGCTGCATTTCTGTCAGCGGTTTGTTTCTTTGTAGATTAAAGCCATTATAATCCTGTTCATGTTGTAATGTTACAAGATATTGAGCAGGATTCAAAAGCCCACCAAACCAGAGCCATCATATTGATGAGGCCATATTGAGCAGAAACAGGTGAACATGGGGAGGCAAAGGTATGTCCTCAGGAGGAAACCCTCAACGTCCTCATTTTTCAAAAAGTCAGAGCTTCCATCTTGTGAGGATTTTGTGTTCATGACCGGATGCAGCATCCTGCGAGAGCGTTCGAACCAGAGGGGCCGAGCTGCGGCTCTGAGACGCTCTGAGGGAGGAGGAGGCAGTGGAGCAGTGATGATGGAAGAGAGAAATCAGCCAGCAGAGAAATACAAGGTAAAAGCAGACATCTGAGCAGCAGAGATACTCTGAGAGGTACGAAACAGTATTATTATTTTGTTATGTTTAAACGGTTAAGAACGAGTAGCCGAAGTTGTAGAAACACTCATTTTAGAAGCATGACAACAAATTTAGTTTTCACTGAGAAACACTTGTTTTGGTTAATTGTGCAAGGTTTTGTGTTTTTAAATGTCCCTTGACTTTAAGGTGACTTTCAGGCACATATTCATGTCAATAAATACAATTAACTGTAACAGTTTATGAGAAACAAAATAACAAAACGAACTAAAAATTCAATCCAAAAGTGGATTAATTATAAATGTTGGTTCCAGGACGTTTGTAAATGAGAAATGGTTCTCAAGCATTTCACCTAGTAAAAAAAACTAATGAACAGAGTTTAGTTATTATTTGAAATATAAATCTTTCATGATCATCAATCTCTGTATGTTTGGGATCAGTCACAGCTTCTACCACACCAAATTCTGTAAATTTTTCTGATTTATAGTCATTTTGCATTTGCCAAAATTGCTTTGTTCTGACAGCCATTAGAGACTTGTGCAAAAACATCATCACTCCACCTTCAGCAATGGGGGAAAAGACGAGTGATCCATGCCTTCAGTCACCAAAGCCCATGGTCAATAATCCAGGTATAAAATCTAACAATGACCTGTCAGGTCATCTGGACAGCCTTCAGTAGTTCCACAGGGACAGGTGGGGTCTGTGTCAATGCATTTTGTTCTCCAACATAAATAAATTTCATTTTGGCATTCAGCACATTTTCAGCCTAAAATGTCAGAAAAATAAACACAACAACATTTTTTGACTGCATCCATATATCTCCTCTTTGTCCTTTTCCTGGCAGCTGCATTTCTAACATCCTTCTACCAGTATACCCATTGTCCCTCCTCTGGACATGTCCAAACCATCTCAGTCTGGCCTCTCTAGCTTCATCTCCCAGTTGTTCAACATGTGCTGTACCTCTGATGATCTCATCCCTAATCTTATCCAGCCTTGTCACTCCTAAGGAGAACCTCAACATCTTCATTTCTGCCACTACCAGTTCTGTCTCCTGTCTTTTTGTCCATGTCTATGTCTCCAGACCATACAACATAGCTGGTCTCACCACTGTCTTGTAAACTTTTCTTTTGACCTTTGCTGACACTGTTTTGTCACTGATCACTCCTGAAACTTTTCTCCATCCACTCCATCCTGCCTGAACTCTCTTTTTCACCTTTTTACCAGACTCACTATTTTCCTGGACAGTGGACCCCAAGTCCTTGAAGTCCTGTAACTTTGTGACCTCTGCTCCTTGTAGCCTCACTGTTCCTTTATTTATTTTTATATTTTTCCTTGTGTACTGTCTGGCATTGTTGCATTCAGAATTGTTGTCTGAGTGTCAAGGTGAATCCCGAGAGATTTACTTTCACAAGCAGAGCATTTCGGCTTGGCCATAATGCTCTGCTTGATATATAAATGACACTTTATTTCAATTTGCTTTGGGTTTCTTTCAGATGTAATGGACACAAGGACGAAAAACAAAGGAGAAAAGAAAGGCAGTGTGATAGTGTGAGGGGAGTGTGACGGGGAAGAAGGCCCCACATTAAATGGGGGGCCCAAAATGATCCACGAGAGGGGACCACCCAAAACCCAACCTGACACAAACAGGTGCACACAGACACAATCCCACCAGAGGGGCAACCCAGACCCAGGAGACAATTCCCTTCATTCCGAGGTGGAGAAAAGCAGACCTCTGCAGCAGCAGAGCAGCCCATCAGCCAGCATGAGGGCTGGGCACCACCCAAACGATCCGAGCCCAGACACCAGCCCCGACCCCGAGCCCCGGCCCTATCCAGAGACGGAGACAGAAAGAGTCCACGCGGCCCCCACAAGCCACCCAGAGCAGTTCCTTGACACCAAACCTACCCATCACGTCCTCATCCCCTCTGTTTCCTTCACCAACATGTCCATTCAGGTCTGCTCGGATCACCACTGTCTCCCCCATGGGAATGCTCTCTATCACTTCATCCAGATCCTTCTAAAATGTATCTTTCTTCTTTACGTCACATCCAACCTGTGGAGCATAACCACAAACAACATTTAACATCAGACCTTCTACTTCTATCTTCAGGCACATCACCCTATCTGACACTCTTTTCACCTCTACTACATTCTTTGCCAACTCCTCCTTCAGGACCACCCCTACTCCATTTCTCTTTCTATCCACACCATGGTAAAACAAGTTAAACCTTCTCCAATGCTGCAAGCCTTGCTGCCCTTCCTCTTAGTCTCTTAGACATGTTAAACATCTACCTTCCTTATCTGCATCATGTCAGCCAGCTCTCTACCTTTGCCTGTCATTGTTCCACATTTAGACTTGCAACCCTCAGTCCTACATTCTTGACTTTCCTCTTCTCCCTCTGTCTCCTGACACGTTTCCCTCTTTATATTCTTTAACTAATAGTAGCACAATTCCACAGGCATCCTGTTTGTCAACAGCACCAGTGGCAGTCGTTGTTAACCCGGGCCCCGACAGATGATGTTATGGTGTTGCTTTGATGAACTCATATTAGTTTTGGCAAAAGTGTTTTACATCAGATACCCTTCTTGACACCAGGACTTGGGACCAGCACAAGATATACATTGGCTTGTGATCCCTAATGGCTCTTTTTTCTCACCATTAAATATGCCATTGAATATTTGAGTCAAAACTCTCACTGCCATCTCTCCTACATTTCCACATCTACACTAGTATGTCATCCGGTCCTACTGTCCCCAGTAGGACAGAAATGAAAAAAGTAACTGGGAAAACTTCAAAACAGGTGGGGTGGAGAAGAAAACAAATGATTAAAACTATTATGTCCTACCTTTTATCAATAAAACATTGTACCAACACAGTGAAGATTATCAGTAAAATTTGTCTCATTAACCTCAAAGACCTCCACAATTAATCCATCCTGTCATTCAGCGTGTCTCCCCTACCCCCACTTTGAGTTTCAGATCTCACCCCGTGACTTCCAGGTCAAATTTCCCGGTAAAGAGCAACAGATGTAGGCACACATTTCCACTACCCCCCCAACTTGATCTCAGCTGGGAGTGTAGATATCATATCATCAGATAGGCTGTTGCTCTTGGATGAAAACTCTGAACTGCTGACCCCATCTTGGTTGATTTGGATTATGATGCAGCGCACACACGTGTGGCTTTTGGAGTCAGTCCTATTCCAGATGGCTACCACAGCTGATCAAGCTCCGATTACACAAAAATAGCTAAAATTCATCCATGTTTACATTTACAGTTTATAGGTAAAATTTGTTGTGGTTGCTCCTGTCATTTACAACAAATACCCTGAGAGCGACACATTGCACGGTCTCTTTGCTCAAAACTTTCCTATTAATTAGTCACCATTATCTTGTGTTAGCAGAATATCTCAAAAACTTAGAAAATACTTACAGGCTGTAGATCTACAATAGATTGTTTGCAGTCGACCCATTTCATGGCAGCCACTACAAATAATCGACATTACCAAACACATAAATACATATATACTGTCAGTTTTATATATTTATTTTGATGAATACATATATACTGTCAGTTTTATATATTTATTTTGATGAGGTGGTAGCTGAGTCTGTTTTAACACTGTACTTTAAGAGTTAACACTTTTCAGGGATTCTTGTATGAGATAACACATTTCATTTCTCATCATCATGAGATGATCTTAGTTTAAAACTGTGGCATGAGGCAGCGGGTGACGGGCATTCCTTCAACACGTGCGAGAACTTTCTCAAACGCTCCTTTGAACCCATGAAAACACAGCGTTGCCAATGAATCAATAAATAATAATTAAAAAAAAGATCAAATATTAAAAAAAGATGCTTCGCAGCAAAATAAAACTAAAAAAGGTCAACAAGACACCAAAATGGAATGTTTTAAAATAATTTATTAGGAATTTTAAAAAGTTGTTTTTTCCCCTTATAGGAAGAACATGACAGAAAAAAATATCAGAAAATGTTACAGTGTTGACAAGAATGTTATTTTTCAGTGATTTAAAGTCTAAAGTACCCACAGCAGTAAGAGAGAGCGTATCAAAATGTAAAACCTGATGTTTGTTGTAGATCAAGAGTGCTTTGTTCTTCAGCTATCATCATAAGAAAAATACATTTTTCATGATCAGCCTATCAGTGTCCTAGTAGTCCTGGTTTTGGTCTACAAAAAGGTGACCTCGCTACAGACTGTGACCTCCAGTGGATGTGAGGGATGGATAGAGCCACCATTTTTTAATCCATCCACACTTTTAGATGTTAATAGGAAAGTCAGATCAATTCACATTTTGAAACAGAGGAACCCCCCCCCTCCCCAAAAATAAAACAAAAGACAGCATATGGCACATTGGAAACCAATGTGTATAACAACCTGCGTACACAAAGATCAACAGACTCCTGCATCCTTCATTTTCCTTCACAAACAATAATCAGATATTAAAAATCAGTTGAAACAAGGATATGATAAACAGCTTGTCTCCTCCTCTGCTGACAGAGGAGCGTTTTCACACACTTATCTCCCAAAAGTAGTCGGTGGTCCAGACTTGGCCTCTCTCCTGCTGAACTCAGTGTCTCGCCTCCGAGGACACTTCGCTGGTCATAAAAGACGACGTGACGCATGATTTACACAAGCTGGAGAGAGCTACAGCAGGTCGGACACAGACGGAGGTGTTCTTCACCTCCAGGTGGGAATACGATACGTAACAGTCAACCTTTTCCAACACCGGCAGCAGAAACAATCGTACCACTTCTCGAAAAGCCTCCCCACCTCCTGGGCACAGAAATCAGCAGAGCCCTGCCACCTGGAACCCAATCCTATTTACAATATTTTACAACATTTTACAGATCATCAAGACTAATTATGCACCGGTCACTAATGACCTTTTGTTATTAGTGTAACGACTCATTGTTAAGACCTACTAAGATTTACAGTTTGCGGCATATTTTCAAGAATTAGTATTTGTCCCAGCAGGTGAAGTTCAGTAAGAGACAAATGGACAGTTCTTTCTGTCATTTTACAGCTTCAGACCTTCAAACAGGCGTCACCTGGAGACGTAGCTCCTCTTATCTCAGAGAGATCAGGTTAGAGGACATTTTAAATTTGTTAAAATACAGCTAAAAAAACAAACAAACAAACAAAAAAGTGACATACCGTAGCCGTCACAAAAGAAGTCAAGTGAAACCTAACAGAGAAATACAGCATCTGAGTGTGTTGCTATTACATGCAGGGATGAGCACTGTCGCTCCTTTTCCAAGTGAATTTTGAACGTTGTCGAACGACGAGGTGGACTTTAGTGAGGTGTCAGTGGGGTGGACTGGATGTGGCTGACACCAGGGTGGGTGGGGTGAAGGTTCGGCCACCCCAGCCGAAGATGAGGACCGGACAGAGACGGGCCAGATCAGCTCCAAAGCAGCTTCAACTCCTTCCAGCTCTCAGTCTACGGCTCTGCACTGACACACAAAGCAGCCAGATTACTCACAGCTCCGCTGGAACCAACCGTGCGAGGTGTTAGACACAAAGAGGACACACTCACACTCTCAGTGATAGCCGTTAGTGAAGGCTGTGGCAATCAAAGGGCCCTGTGGGAACAAGCATGCACAGGTAAGTTTACCGTTAGTGCAAAACGCAGGCTTGATGGCTGAAATGTTCACTAGAATTAAAACATACGTGCAGAACGTTTGAAGCACCAAAATTGTAAGCAGAAACAACAGATTATTCTAACATGGCTGCCGAGTGGTGAAGGAAACAGATCATATAGCTGCTTCTACTTATTCTTCTTGTCACCACCTGGTGCTGAAGGTGAGGTGACAATTTATTTGCTCTTGTATGTTTGTAGCATTAGCGAATAATCCAATGAATTAAAAAATAAAAACTGGGCGTACATCTACAGCTGATTAACTTTTGGAGTCAACCAACTTTAGCTAACTAGCCTAAAGTTATAGACTCAAAAAATATCTATAATTCTGAGTAATACTGAAGAAAACGCTGTTTCTTTTCTATTTTCAATACCCACAAGTATTTCAAAACCCAACCAAGTCACCTGAACTATGAAAAGCTCTGGAGAATAAATCAGTGGTGTAGTCTATGTGATACGCGGGAATATGGAGTATACCCACTAGAAAACCTTAAAAATGTCAGTATAACCACTTAAAAGTGCCCATTGATACATGACATATCATTAGACACGTGTCACTGATACGTTAAACGACAGTTAAATGCTTCCATAACAATCTGTATGCAGCGCTCGTTTATTACATTCACTTATCCAGCAAATTATTGTATCATTTTTGTACTTAATAGTTAAACATGTTTTTCTTTCATACTGTTTTATAAATGATATAACATGTTTTTAATACAAAGCCAACTGTTGTACAAATTCTGTTGTACATTTATTCAAATATAAGCATCAGAGACATTTGGAAATGTTCAATATGCTTAAAAATCGGTGTACAGTAGTCCCTCGCTACTTCGCGGTTTGTTTATCGCGGACTCGCTCTATCGCAGCTTTTCAAAATAAAATTGGACATGATGCACAACTGGCTGATTGATGGATGAGCCAAACAATCAGTGTGAAATTTTTATTTAAAATGAATTATTTTGAACTATTTAGCACCTGTTGCACATTTGTGCAGCCCAGAGCTGAAAAAACTTCCTCCTGCACCTTTGTGCAGCCCTTACTGCTGCAGGATAAACTTCCTGCTGCAGCTGATCAGCTGTTCAGTGTAGAGCAGAGAAGTGGGCGTGGCCAAGAGGCTTGCAGGTGGCAAAGAGCAGAGGAGGCAGGAGCTGAAATCATGACATGCTGTGCTCTTTTAGAGCGTTTAGCATTTAGAAACGTTGTTTAGAATATTGCAAGAGTGTGGGATATACTATATATGTATATATATATATATATAAAT